TTAAAGCAAGCAGTGTTCTATCTAATAGCACAAGAAAGGGTACTCAAGAGCTTAAAGACGAATTGGACACTACTGTTTTAAAGACAAAAAGATAGATAGGCAAACTAGTTCACATCAGGGGGCATAATGTTCAGATAAAGATCAGCACAAAAAAGGGAAAACAGAAAGCTCTCGACTATATCAGTTGCTCTTCGGAAATAACATGTACGTGTCTACTATTAGGAATCCCACATCCAAAAATGTAATATAGTCTGGTATCTAAGGAACATGGACTTCTAGCACAAACTGCCAATTGGTTTTGTGATGGAAACCATGACGCTTGACATTTATATAGATTATTCAAAAGCCAGAACTCGTCGCGAAAATATCCATACTATATCACATTTCTCCAGTCCAGAAAACAAGTGGCTTCATTACTTTAGGTATCCTTATTCTAGAAAGTGAATCATTATAAACAATAAAGAAGAATCTCTTACCACAAAACGCATCTGGAAGGTCCTGAACTAGTTGAGGATCAGGATTCCATGACTCAGAGATTTTTCTAGGAATCTCCATAGGATCTTCGACGTACTCCTCAGTCATGCTTTCATTTGTGTGATCCATAACAATAACTTTATTCTCCTTTGCCACAATCTCCATCGCGGGTTGAGCTCCAACAACGCTATAACGACCCTATATGAGATCAATCACATCAAAAGGAAACAATTAGCAAAACTTAAGAAATATCAACTGATAAAAAAAGTATCTGTACAAAGAAAGATTATCTTACAACGCTTGACATCTGAGAACCAGGCTCAACAGACTCAAAAAGAAAGCTAGGAGCTTCACGGTCATCTTCTTTAACCAAACAACGGTAAGCAAGAACAGGAGTAAGCTGATCAGAGAATATGCAGCGGTAAATTGGTATAAGATTTGTGCTCTTTGAAGCATCTGCAAACTTCTTCGTATCCGATACTGCAAAAAACAAATTCAGAACTGTTTTCACACTCAAAATCGCCAAAAATTTGGGAAATTAAGATTCCAAATTCACAATCAAACCTAGACAGATTCGAAATTGGAATTGTAGTTTGTGAATACTGCTAAAGTTCGACCTAATTTCGATGAAATCATTTTCCCGCATTTTATCTGGAAATTAAACAAACCCAAAACAAACGAAGAGCATTGCTTTTCACCTATTGAAGCTTCTGGTGAGGCAGAAATACATTTAATCGAACGGAAAGAAGGCGCGTAACCGGAGCTTCTACCGGAATAACCAGTAACGGTAACAGAAGAAGAGAGTCCTCGAGAAGGAACGAGCCGACGGCGAGAGAAGCTCAATGGTTGCATCGTCGCTACATTCATAGAAGCAGACATCGTCGTAACGGCTCTGGGAAAAACGGTGGTTGACAGTGAGCTCCGATGGCCGGAATAGTTGAAATATCGGAGAAGATTCAGAGGCGACGGCTAAAAGTTGGAAATGGCGAATAGATTTACTCAAAGAGGATTGGCATATTTATAAAGATGCGCGTGGCATATGACCATGTGACATATTATGAAATTACAATTATACCCTTCACCTGTTAATTTTTCTCACCAAGTCACGTGCATGCACTGTCTCAAAAAGTTGGAATTGTTTTTTTGTTTGATACTCAAAGGGCATAAGACTATGTTTATTGATGAACCCCTTAGGTATCATTAACATAAATTTTATTAATAATTTAATATTTGAGATTCAATTAAATTTTTATAATTTTGGTTTGTTTATTAGTGAGACTGATTTACCTCTAAACAATTACTAAACATTGATTTAGCTCTAAACAATTACTCACCGGAACATCATGACTGCTCCAACGGATAAAGAGCTTCACCGCTGAATCTCTGCATGTTTGCTCCAGCGTTGGTGGCTGAATCTCTGCATCGAAAGAGAAGCAGAAGAGATCACGACGAAGCAGAGGAGAAATCAGAAGCAGAGAAAGGAGAGAGACGATTACCTAAAGAAGAAGAACAATGGAGAGATCACGACGAAGCAAGTCGATTCGCCTTCTCCTTCTCAATCGTCTTCTCAATCGCCACCAGGTCGATCACGACGAAACAGCAGACGAAGCAGATCGATCACCATCATCCAGATCGGAGACGATTCGCCTTCTCTTTCTCAATCGCCGGCAGATCGATCACGACGAAGCAGATCGATTCGCCGGCGAAGATAATGCCGCTGAACACGGACAGAGAGATAACGCCGCCAAATCGCATCTCTTTGACGACA